GTCGATTAAAGTGTCGATTTCTGACATTTCGAGCCCAGTTCTGGGTATTTTATTCTTTATAGTGGGTCTTGAAGACCGCTTCGACAAAAATCGGACCAGGAGAGATTCAGAAGGACCAAGAGAAAAGATAGAGAGACTCGCAGGACACCTCATCTCCGTATGGCGTACTCCGTTAGAACCCGTTTTCCAGGATCCTCGGATCATGTGGAAAGACGTGCTCCGAAAGAGGATGAAGAGGTACCCGAAGAGACGAGGCCTCTTCCTTTCGTCCTGCTCGGCACGTCCTGTATGATTCAGCCATTCGCGTGGTGACCTTCGGACGCAGACCTTCGGTTTCGTGACTTTGTCAAGAAGATCCGAAACTCCGTAAGACGATGCAGAAACACGCGATAAATCCATCTCTTGTATGCACAACTTATCCATACCCGGCATCAACGTAAAACGCGGAGAAAAACTACCAGGTGATTCCTTGCACCTTAATAATAATAAAAAAAGAAAAAAGATTCAGTAATAAACCCCACATATAAAATAAAAAATTCACTTTAATAAATATATTTGGCGCTGAATTTTTTTCTTCGCGCCTGAATTTCCAAAACAATATTCTGAGGTCATCTCCACCCTGAGGAAAAAAAATAATTCATTGAATCTAATAAATGTCTCGTTGAATAATATCGAAGAAAAAAAATCCTTCGAGTTCATTTCAGTTATACTCATTGAATTAATTAACGAAATATCTTTTTGGTACTATTCAAAGGAATACTTTATAGGTTCGATAAAATGTTTTTCTTGTGCAAATTGTGGAAAAATAATAATAATAATTCTGGTGTCATTTATAACTATTGTCGAAGGTTTTCTTCAATCGATTCCACGGGTCGAAATGATTTGGGCTCGAGTGAACAAAGTTCATTCGGACTCCACGTGTCGGCTTAATGTCAACTAAGCGACTCTCGATTCTCGTAGATATCGAGTTGAATTTCTCGCACACGTCACGCGTCTTCGCACGCGCGTGTCTGTCGAAAGTCACATGTATCCGGCGAAGTCTATTGATATCGGTGCGAGGATCGATAAATCACGAGTCTCGATCTACCGTGTCGATCTGCGATGATTATTTCCGATCTCAAAATTCGAATGCAAAATAATCGATAAGCGAAATAAGCCCGAGCCCTTTCGCACGATAAATCCGTGTAAATAATACCTCACTTCAGGCGTAACTTTCGCGCTCATTAACATAAGAACTGCAATTAGTACCGTAATTAACGAAGTGCCAACATTAAACGAAGACAACGTATGTCCGGAGTGTCAGCAATAATGTAAGAAACAGCCGAGATTCTACTAAATGATAAACTTTACTGCAAGAACACGTTTTTCACGACAGACAGCTGTCGACTTGCCTGGCTGTTTTTGACAACACCCTGATAAGAGATTAACATAAGACATCCCGAGGAAAAGGGATGCTAATATTTTTCACAAATTTCGGAAGAGATCCTTTAACAAATCCTGAGCGAGATGAAAATAAGGGCATAACGAACAACATCGAGACTTTAAAAATAGTCGTTTTGGAGGTCGAGGTTTGCGGAGACTTAAATGCGTGTACAAGGAGTGCAGGGTATTGCAATAATCAGTATCCGCTGCAAAGGATTAAGATACAGATTTTGATAACTGTATTAGCGAAGAAGAGATGGGAAAATTTGAGGGGAATTCAGGTATCCATAATCGTTAAACTTCACATGGCTGGCAGCATTGACTACCACTGGACTCGCGGTCAAAAACGGAACGCGGCCTTAACCGCTACAAGGTTTCGCGTCGCGAGAATGCTCAGCGACGGAAGCCCTTGCTTAATTAATGATTACCAGGAAACGTGTCTGGGCCCTTTATGCACTCGGTGGAGATATATCTACCACCGTGTGTAGAATCTTGTCCACTGTGCGAGGCTCGCAGCAACCCCCATACCCTGGCCCAACTTGCCACTGCTACAGATCGGCCGCGATAAACCCTCGGTAACGATACGTATAGACGATCGATGGTCCCGAGGTCTCTCCCTACCGGGAGCTCACCACCCGACAAAAAAGTCATTCCAAAAACGAGCGGAAAAACACGTAGCGCCTCAAAACGGATAAACTTTCCCGGGAAAAATACCCAGCCTAAGAAAGTAGGAGAAAATGCGAGGGCAGTCATAACTAGCGCATTCTTGCAAAAGGAGATTTAATCGCCGTTAATACATGTACGTATATACTTATATACATAATCTCTTAAAAACTAGGATATGAACTCGTGGAGGATCCCCGAGGCGCCGTATCTTGCGAATAAAGGAGCAGGCATCACCCCTGGGAATCTCTCTCCGCGATGAAAGATAGCCCGAGAGGGGCACGGAGGGGGAAGAAAGAAGCGCCGGAAAAAACCGCGTAAATTTAGACGGACGATTTGCGTGGCAATTAAGGCTCATCGAGGAGCGCGTGCACCGTGCGAGTGTGCGATGCGTCTCCGGGGACGGTCGGCGGCGCACTGCGCCCGCGCGGCGCGGGCGGAAACCGCGGGCCTCCTCGTTGACGAGCTCGAGAGGTCACGTGACAAATGGCGGCCCTCGAGACTCTGCGCGGCCAGGAAAGCGAGCGAGCCAATTAGCGGCCGCGAAAACGAATCCTTCCCCGGATGGGAGAATTTCAACGGTTCTGGAACAACGGGGAAAGGACGCCCGATCGCGGAACGATAAGCCGGCTAGCAGCGAGTAATGATACGCCCGAGAAACGAGTACGGCTCTTCTCGCTTGAACGGGACGAAAAATCGCGCTTTTCCGTTCGGCCGCCACAACGGAAGGCGGGCGCTGATTGGTGGAGCGAGAAATTACGGCTCTATTCGGTGCCCACTGTGAACTTAGTTGCGTTAAGGCATTGAAAGTGACTAACTGCATTAGAGGGGGCGGTAAAACGCTGAACAAGTAGAAAATTTAAGTAATTTTCTATTGAGAAAGAAATTAAATCTGTATTAATGTATAATAAATGTATGTTTATACGGTAGAAGTATGTCTATCGGATTTTCGTAGACACGTTTCTTCCGATCTCGAGGGGGATGTAGACTTTTGTTAATTTAAGAGGAAGCTTCCTGACGAGTAAAAGATGTCAATTAATTCCGCGGTCTTGTAGTTTCAAGATTGAATCAGAATTGCAGTCTGCGTTAAAAATGTGATATGAGAGAGGAAAAATGGGAATCATAACGCTCCCGGAGATTATTTGAAAATGTGCTGGAAATACGTGTTGGAAAGCCGAGATAAATAGACGAAGAAATTCTTTCTTGGAATTCAAGGAGCGAATGTCCCGACATCGGGCGTCCACACGACTTCCGCTTCCTCCCGTGTCTCCTTCGGGAGCGGCGGAACGATACTCGGTATCTTTTTGTGAGCCAAGGAAGCCGGGAGGGCGGATTTCTCAAGAGGGGACCTCCTTATGTAACGGATACGCTTTGGCGGCGCGCCGCGTCTCCTTGAAAAAGCTTTGGAGAAATCCCTGTCATTAGACGCGGATCTATCCAGGCCGAAAAGGAGGCGCACCCGGGCCGAAAGTGTACCGGTGGATCGATCGCCAAAATATCGGGTTGCCATTGTCGTCAGCGATTTCTCGCGAGGCTTTGTAACGAGTCCCGAGGGAACGGACATTCCCCAAAACGGAAAATGGACGGCTGAAACTGGAGACCCGACGTTTCATTGCATTCTAAAATCAGTTGACAATTAAACCACGTATTCCTTTTTTTTATTTCCCCGTAAAAATCCAAATCTGCGTTAATAATTCCTTCCCTAAATTAGAGATAAATAACTTGTTACGAAGTGGGTCGAACGAATCGAAACAGCCTTTACTTGATAATTGCAATTTTTTCAGAGGAAAAATCTAATCCACATTCAGTTGCAATTTGATAATCTAGATATGAACTAGGAATTTTTTAATACAATTTTCTTGCAACAATTTCAAGTTTACCCTCCGCGTCGCACTACCTCTGTTCGTTCCACGTCGCCCGAAAATCATAACAAATTATTGCCTCGTTTCCCCTACTACATTTCCGCGTAAATTTATTTCCACGGCCATTGTCACTTAATCCGCTTCCTCTGTATATATATATTAGCCCCCCTAACAATCGACCACCCCCGTAGAAAAAATTCTCGCGTCTTCCGGCGCCCGGGCGGGCGGAGCGGCGCTTCCTGGTCGCGGAAATCGGCTTCTCGGCATCCTTGACGGAATCCACGCTCGGGCGAAAATAATGGCGCAAAAACGCGACGAGAGGGCCCTTTTAGGGCCTGCAGTGCTCGCTTCCGGCACTTCCTGTGTCACACGCCGTTGAGCACGCTCCACCCTCGAGGACGCGGCGCGTCCACCGCCCCGCCGCTGCGGAAAGGATCCCGAGGCTAATTGTTGACACACAACACTGCATCGAGCACCATTGTTGCTGAATCCGCCCGATAAATCCTGCCCGACCCTCCACCCTTCCGCCTCGACGGGCCCCGCTTGTTTCGCCCCCTCGTGATAAGCTCGACGGTGGCTTTAAAGATGCGCGCGAGATAAGGCACCGTGTCACAGGTGGACAGGGAATCCACCTCTGATGGTTCGACGGAAAAAAAAAAAATGGCGATCTTTGTTCAGGGGCAATTCTTGTACCCTTGGATGATATACAACGGTGGTTCTTAACCTCCTCGAAAAGAAGAAACAATTTTCATTGCAAGGGTAACTTGCGAGACGTCAAAATCACTGATGGCATATAACAATGAAAGGGTACGAACGTGTAATGGGAATATGTGTAAATGTGGGTAATGTGGAAATATTAAATGTGAAAAATTAACGAAGCACTGTGACTGTAAAATAAGAAGTTAAATTTAAATTAATATGGCGAAGATTTCTTTTTTTTTTTTTTAACGTATAGTAGTTAAGAACCACCGTTGTAGAGTTAATGGGTTTAAGTTAAAATACGTCAAGCAATGTTAAGCCGATTTGTATGTAAAAAAAAATGAAAGTACTTACGTTATGAAGCTTGTAGTAAAGGCCGCAAGCGTTGCATACAGGTTCGCCGGCTTGGTTCCTTCTCCAGAGGGTGGTCGTCGCCGTCTTGCAATTTGCGCAGCTCGTGCCCGCCCTTCTGGCAGCACTCTGCAGGGACAGTTTTTGGAAAAGAAAAAGGAACAGATATCACACCCGTAACGGAAAGTCCATGGGAAAATAGCGAACAAACATTCCTCGACGAAGAAAACAAAATATATATATATATATATTTTAGTAATTTTACGAGAGAAATTGCTCAGCCTCTTTTGCCAAGGTAAGAATTAAATAGGCGGATGAAAGAGCGAGTTGCTAAACATCTAATTGCGCAAACTCCATGGATATTTATTTTTAACATGCCCTCGGATTGTCTGCAAAAACCCGCGCGGGGGACACTTTTTCCGCAACGGCGTATTCAGCGATTTGCGTCACTCAAAAGATTAGTTATCAACGTGGAAACAGTACAGGCGTTGCCAATCGATTCAATTCGTTGCAATATCAATTTCATAATGAACTACTTCAATACCGCATTTACTGGCATCGGCCGATAAAAATGCATCATCTATTCCCTCCGCAAATATCAATTTTTCTTGTCTTCAAATCTGACGAATCATTCACAAGCTCGGATACTACCTACACTAATCCTGCCGAAAAAATTAATCATTTGAACAATTTCCACCCATTCCACCCGCAATTTTTTTTTACCGAATTTTTACGGCGTCACTAAAATGACAAGAATGCCCCGCAGCCACTTCTTGCAATTAGTTTAAGCATGAGTTTTGGCGAAAACAAAAATGTCGAAAACATTTCGACAAGGTATTCGTTGTCAGTCTCGACTCAAGGAGTACCTCTGTCTCTCCAGGAGTCGAGGACCGATCCGAAGCCTAGATCCTTTCAATCGGTCAATCAAGTCAGAGGGATGGAAAAGGCCAAGGAGGCTGAGTGGCGAGGTCCTTAATCCTTCCATCCTGGGAGGATGCGGTCACGGGTCCTTTTAGTGGGCCGGGATCGAAAATGGTCCCAACACCTGTACCTCCTTGTGCGGAGTGGCAAACACTTAACTAAAAAGGTCTATTATCCCTTCCTGCCGGGTTTTCGGTCTCTTTCCCGATGGCTGGTCCTCCTTCTCCAGAGCCAACTGCAGCTTATTCGCCCTTCTAACGTGCACATTCCTGCATCCAACACAACAACCACCGTAGAGTGCATTACACACGATTTGGCCTCTCTTTGAGACGTCGACGGCACTCCACACCATAATGCCCTTGTACGGGTGGTACGTGTGTATAAAGGGTTACACACCCAACTAACTGCAATCAAATACAGCTTATTTGCCCTCTCCAGAGTGCACGTTGCTGCGTTTAACACAACAGCCACTGTAGGGTATATTACGCACGATTTGACATCACGTTCAGACGTTGGAGGCACTCCACCCCATAATGTCCTTGTGTGGGTGGTATGTGCGTATACGGGGGTGCACACCAAAATCATTGGGTGTTCCCGTCGATCGGTCCTCCTGGACCACTTAACCCCGCAAGATGACACGGTACAATTTCGAAGAGCGCCTCTAAAGCTCCCGACAACGAAACTATACCTGCCATTGTCGGCAGCCTTACGAACCCTCCGTAATGGCGAACTTATTGAAATATTCCCTCTCGTCCCGCCATTGTGTCCCCGCGGGACGAAATTACACGTCTTGTCCTGTGTCTCTTCCCTCTGTCCGCCTTGCTGTGAAATGTCCTCCCGTTGTCCGGCGCTCCCGACGGCCAAAGGGAAAACCGACAGAGTCCTTCGGGATATGTCGCAAAAGGACTTCCCTCCAAGTAAGACACTTTTAGAACTCGAGATCGGATTGAATAATCTCAGGAGTTACATCTGGGAATAAGGGCCTCCATTTGTTCCTTCATTTTTGAAGACCGCGTTGCACCTAATTCAAGTGTATGACTTTATCGGTACTTCCTTAGAAAGGAATTATGACAATTGTGAGTACCCTATCGGCGTAAATTTTTCCAAAATTTTTACCCCTACGTTAATACCCAGAAGAGCGTTAAGCAGCCACTTCCCCATGTCAGAACCAACTCCTGGCGGTATTCGTTATCACCCACTGACCGGCTATCAATTACTTGCACCCGCTCGACTCGAAGTGCTCCGGGTTCAGTAGGGCACCTGTTTGTTTCTGGTTTCAATTAAGCAAAGCGGTAGCTCGGCTCCGTTCAGGTGGCTCGGGTGGAGGCGTCGGGTAAACATTTGCCTTCGTCCGTCCGAATAGAGAGCGGGCCCTCGGCGTAGAGCGACGTCGTTACGGGAACGATCGTAGAAAAGCCCCGGCGGGTCGGTGTAGGTGCCGTAATACGTAATCATGCCCTATCAGCAGGATCTTATCGGGCGGCGCGGCGGCAAAGGGGTGCCCGAGGAGAGGGGCGGAAGGGCCCTGCCAGCGCATCAACCCTTACACGGAATCAATACGCGAGCCACCTCATCAATATAACCATGCCCTATCTGCTCTAGATCTTTGACACCCTGAAAATCATCGACCCAACCTCTTTAGGGTCGCGGTGCCTAATGGTTATTAAACCGAAGACCCCCCGAAAGGAATTAATCTCCCGGCATTCCCGAAATCGACCTCACTCGGCCAGAGTTTCGCACGCGAACGGGACACGGAGGGACAAAGCCCTAAGAGATTAAGAACCCAAGTGCCCTTGATTGCGCGAAGGCTCGATAAGCATCTGAGAAATAATTCCGATAATTGAAGAGGAAAAACTGAGAATCCCACGATATGCAATGCAACCGAATTCCACACTGACCTCTGGAAAAATTTTGGAGCATTTTAATTTATGCATTTACTCGTGTAAAATGTTAGTAATTAATGGATTAATGTTTATTCACTTTACTTGATTTCGAAATATTTCTACGTACGCTTATACCGCCTCGGGTGGAGTAATGGACTGTGGCAGCACGTAGTAGAACATTTGCCGAATGTACGTGCAAGTATATAGAGTGAGTAGAAGGTACGGACACACAATGGCGATTTCCTGGTGCAGAGAGCGCTACCGGGCGATTCTTTATCGCGTCAATCATTACAACGTCGGGGGGGAGGAGGAAAAGGGGGGGTGTGCCGACCTTAACGCCGCGATTATTATGTGTTCTGGTTTTACGGGGCAACCGCTCCGACGATGACTGCGACATTATTGCACGGCGAACGAGGGTGCGGGGTATTTTGAGGCCGGATAAGTATCGATAGTAATTATCGATAGGTCGATCGTTTAGCCAGTGCAACACCGTCGCCGATTCGAAAGGCGGCGACGATAAAATCGAACGTCTCCCCCGTTCCCCTCCACCCTCTACACGAGATAAAAGAATTGCGAAGAACACCTTAGCGGGATTTTCGAAGTCCAGATTGCCCCCAAAAGTGCTCCAAAATGTCCCCAACAAATTTCAAGATATTTCCCGATACGGATACTGTACAATATACTATATAAACATAAATANCCCCACGCCACCCCCCTTCATTTCTCTCCTTTCTCCCCTTTTCGATCGTCAAGCAGCACCGGGAAAGCCTCAGTGACAAGCAGCGGGCTATCTCACTCCACCTGGAGGTTTCGAAAGTGACACACGCCCTGCCGGAGGAATGCACCCCGGACGGAGGGGGGCAAAGCGATGCCCCATGAAAAAAGAGAAGAAAAAAAAAAGAGAAAGAGAGGGGGAGGGAAGAAACGCGGTAGAGCGATCGGGCCTCGCGTGGTAGAATAAAACCTCGAGCCGTGAAAATAAAAGTGAGAAAAAGAGAGAGAGATAGAGAGAGAAAAGGTTTGGTGAGAAGAGGAAAAAAGGGAGACGGAGAGGGGGAGGGGGGGGGAGGCGCGCTCGAGTATCAGGAGGTAACGGCAGAAAACGAAACCAAGAGGAAGCACGACGGCCGCGGGGGTGGCGAGGGGGAGGGGCCGCCGCGAAGTTCAGAAATGTCATATCCGTCAGTGTCCCGGGAGCTCCGCAACCGGCCAACCGGTTTCCGCGGCCTCCTGGTACAAGTATTGGCCGCACCGCGGCCAATTACCCGGCCGCCGATCGCGCCCGATATTGCCCGTAAATATCCTCGGGAATTTGCATAATAAGGGCCGTGGCGCGCCCTCCGTTGGATGACTCGCGGGTGAGTCGCGCACGTCGGCGCGGAAGTGCCGCGCCGGGTCGGCCGCGACCCTCGTATGATGCGCTTTGTCGGAGTTTGAGGTTTCGGCGCGGTTTCCGGAAACGAGGGTTTTTATTCGTGGATTCTGTATTTTTCGGGAGATGGGACTAGGTTGGGGATATGTCTGTTGCGAGGAGGTAAATGGGCTTAAGGTGATATGAAAGGGTCGTTCTATATATAAAACGAAAAAATATTTATAACACCTTTCTCCTAAACTAATGGCATCAAATCATTTGAAACTTCAGCACGTGATTATGGGGGCCCTAAGGAAGAACGTGATACTCGTAAAATTTCATTTTTTTACAGAAAAAAAAAATGTGATTTCGGTTCTAGTCTGGGATAAATGAAAATGTTCCCTTCTTTGAGAAATTAAATTTCACGAGCATCGCGATCTTCCTTAGGGCCTCCCTAATCACACGTTGGAGTTTCAAATGATTCTCGGCGCACCCAGTTTGGCGAAAAGTTTTATAAATATTTTCACACGTTTGACATGTATATAATGACCCTTTCATATCGCCTATAATATCAATTTTCATTAAAATGGATATATTATCTTATTCTTAATTAAATTTTACTTCGTGAAGAAATTCTAAATGTGGACATTCTACTTATCGCCTGGACGTTATCGATGTATGTGCTAACTTTCATTTCCTTTTTAGGAATCGCCGGTGTTCATCATTAACCAAGAACGACGTTGCAGCTTCTTTTGATTTGCCGAAAAATCTTTGTAACCAAGCGCAAGGGATGGATAAATCGTCTTGTAATGATCTGGAATAAAAGAAAAGGAAAACGAAAAAAAAAAGAACTGCCGTCGATTGATGTTACGATCATTACGGATAGCCGGCGGGGGTATGAATGGACTCTTTCCTCTTGGATTATCGACCGGCTGAATGGAATTATGCGCAGGGACGCGCGATTATCTCGGGCG